CGATGGCTCTTGCTTGTGGCCAGCCGGCAAGCCACCCGTGCTGCGCGGGAAATCTCACTCCAGCCCGATGACCAAAAGAGCAGGGGCCACGTTCTAATACTGATATTGCATTTTAAGTTTAGGGTTTAGGGTTTCGGGTTTGTGGGTCAGGCTCTAAGTTTAGGGGTTCGCTCTTGGAGGGAGGGAGACTCCTGAGGAGCTGGCACGCAGCCGGCTCGCATCTTCTCATGGCGCGTGCCTCAAAAGCGAGAGCGCGGGTGGTGAGTCAGAGGATCATGGATTTGGGCCAGGTGGTTTCAAGTTTTGCCCAGTTTATGCCCTTGCGGCTTGCAACTGCGACCTTGCAAGAAAGGCTTGGAATGGAGATGGACCCCACAACCCTAAACCCTAAACCCTAAATCCGCTGCCCCCCCCCCCCCCCTCTCCCCCAAATTTGGCGATTCTTCGGCACAAGCCGACCCAGGATGGACGGGCGGAGCGTGGAGCCGGTGGGCAGCCTACTCATGGAACTTCTTGGGGTTTAGGGATTGTGAGTTAGGCACTGTGGCGTGGGAGGGGGCTGGGCAGAAAGGGCAGCAGTCGAGTCCTTTGTGAAAAAAAGGGGTTGTGAGTTTGGGGTTGCCAGGTTTCAGGGCTTTGTTGTGGTGGCTTTTGGGATTCTGGTTTGGTTTTTTTGCCGCGAGCTAATTGGTAGGAGTTATGCCGTAGAAGGGGCGTACTAGAACAAATCGCAAGCAGTGCTTGCACTTGGGGGGGTTTTCACGCTCAGAGCAGTTACAGGAAATTGGCATGGTCTCTTGGCGGAGCCAGCGCACGCAGATCTAGGCCCTCCTCTGTTTTCTGGTGTAGTTATCTCCATGGGCCCGAGTTATCGCCTGGGTCATCTAGGAGCACTCGTGGAGTGGTCTTGTTGGAGGCTAACTGTACATGGTTTGGGGTCTAAGTCTAAGCAGCAGCCGATGGTTCATGTTCATCAGCAGGTCTACTTCTGCCACCTCCAACACTAAAGCATGTTCCATGGTGTTGGAAGTGTAGTAAGGCAGGACGAAAGATGGTTTTGATGAGAGTGACGGACAAGATTGTATCACGCGTTGTGTAAACGCTAATCTAGACGTCAAGGGGCCCCGTGCCTGTGCCTGGAGGGTAGTTCTCTCGATATGCGGAGTGCCCGGCCTCGGCCCTCATCTGCGCGAACCCACCCGAGTATTTACCTGTCACCTAGTCTGCCAACACTAGTCGGCCGCCGCCACCCTTCCCAAAACAAGCCCTGCACCCAGACCCGGACAAGCTATCATGGCGCAAGGTTTAGCACAATGGAGGGCCTTTAAGAATTAGGATTTACGGCTCGTCTGTAATATTTTTGCAGACCTTGCAAGCCCGGATGCTCTTTGCTTCAGCACCAGCACGTTTGCATGTATGGGTGAGGAGGTACCCCCCCTCGCCACTGTAAGAAAAGCCAAACGCGAAGCCTCGTTTTTTGAACGCAATCCGCTATCCCGCCCCGAGCCCCAAGGCTGAAAAGCAAGCACAAGCCTTGGGTTTTGAGAGCTCGGGGGGCGAGCAAGCGACCCCAAAGCGTGAAGTCAAAGCAAGGACTTCCCTGGATGCTTCTTGCGGCGGCTGGCTGGCTAATTCGGCCGGATTCCAGCAGGCACGGGGGGCACGTTTGATTAAGAGAACCGATTGTTCGGAACAACCCTTAGGCGGTTGATCTGACATGATGAATGTGTTGCAACAGTCATTCTTTGTGCAGGGCGAGGTGCAGCAATGGTGTGGACGCCCAGATCAGCTATCTGCAGGTGCACACTTGGAGTGCTGGGCCGAGGGCAGTTTCAGGTGACCAACTAGTTTTCCCATGTTTCCCTACATACCCCGCATTTCGTCTTCAGGGAAAAGGCTTGTATCGGTACCATGTGAAACGCTTACTTCCTGGAGCTCTGCAACGACTGCATGCCCGCAGTACGCTGGCTTGTACTCATTGAATCTGTGACATCCTGTCCCCTCGATATGACGACAGTGGGCCGTCAGCTAGGCAGGGGGCAACAAAAAAATCTAAAACGCGAGGTTTACGACCCTGGGCTTCCGAAGTCGAGCTTGTGACCCCAAACCCAATTCCACTGGGTCGGTTCACTAACGGATCCCCTTCTTCGGGGTCCCCGCTATCACGCCTCCCCCTTACACGTGGGATTCCCACGTGGATCTGAGAAGTTGGCTGTTTTGCCAGGTGCGTGCAGGCGCCCTTAGTCTTCGGGCCGGAGGGCCCGCCTGTCTTATGCGCTTAGCGCACCCTGGTCGATCCCACACACATCATGCACTTACTCACCTACTTAGGGTTTAGGGTTTAGGGTTTGGGGTTTGGGGTTTGGGGTTTAGGGTTTAGGCTTTAACGGGCCCTACTTGTAACCCTAGAAACCCCTGTGACCTCGAGCGGAAGGTGCCTGGTAGCGGCACCCGGCCATACCTGGCCATGGGCGCAGCGTGTGCTGGCACGCAAGGCGGCTTTGTATTCTTCAAACTTCGTGGATCATTGCGGATGTTCATGGGTACTTATAAGTACCCATGACCCTTCAAGTACGGATGTTCTTCCTTGTTAGGCCGGTTTAGTGTAGGGATGGTCTTAAGGGGGATGCCGGGTACAGACGACTAGTTACTAGCAGGCGGTAAGTGCAAGGGTGTTTGGCACACGGGCCCATGAAAGTTTCTTATCATATCGCCAGTGGCCTTCGAATAAGAATGGGCACATGGATGCGGCACCGACAATCTACTATCGCAAAAAGCCAGCGGAGAACGACCTACAGCAGAGCAGTGATGTCACACCGCGATAGCAGCCGTAGGAGCTACCAAGAATAGGGCTGCTTCAAAGCAGGGCCATACGGACTTCACATCGTTAGTTAGAAGTGTGGTCGATCCGGCAAAGCCGCTGCCCCCGCTTTTCTAATGAGCCCTTATTTTGCTGCAGTCGTTGTGCGTCGCACCGTTGTCACAAGGCTTGGGAGACCCGGTCGAATATTCACCCGAGGCAGGCATCCCGCTCAGTTGCGTGCAGCTTCGCAGCCGTCATGCCACCACTACTGTCAGCCGGACTTCGTCATAACCTGGCCGAGTGCCAACTTAAAAACCCTAAACATTCCCTAAACCCCAAAGCCTAAAAAGCCTCCACTGCTGTCAGCCGGACTTCGTCATAACCTCGCCGAGTGCCAACCCTAAACCCCAAAGCCTAAACCCTGAACCCTAAAAACACTGCTGAGCTGCGGTTTGGATAGGCCCGCTTCGTTTGCGATGCGCGCCGGGAGCAGCTAAGTCTCGTCCGGGCCCCGGGTCGCAGTGTTGCAGCTTGTTTCCTTCAGCGGTTTAGGGCTCAGGGTTTAGGGTTTAGGGTTTAGGGCTTAGGGGGCAAAAGGGTTTAGGGTTTAGGGTTAGGGCTTAGGGGGCAAAAGGGCAGTTTTAGGGCCTGCTTTTGCCACTGACAACCCTTCTCTGCTGACCGATTCTTTGGAAGTGCATGGGAGTTGCCTAAAGCTTTGCGCCACCTGGAGCTGCATTCTTTATCATAAACTTCCTTGTAAGAGGAACACATAATAAGGGGCCCACATGTAGAGCAAACCCATTAGTCCGTGGCCCTCGTGGAACCGTATCATTCCCAAATTTGGGGAACCTGGGTCCACAGCCAAAACTTATTTGGCGCTCAGCTCCGACCCCCATGGCCTAGAGCGTTTTATTTCTTTTTTGGGCGGGGGGGGGGGGGTGTTCGAAAATCGAGTCGTTTGCAAGACACCTGTTAAAGAGGCACTCCACCCGCTCCCCCCCTCCCCCCCTCGCCTTCCAACAGTGTCAACCAATACTGGCTTAGGGTTAGGGTTAGCATCACGAGGATCGCGAGGGCGCAGTGCTTCGGCGCCAAAGATCTGCGCTGAGGCAGCAGGACGCTTGAGGGAGTTTGAGGCAGCCGATCTTCCGGAATCACGACAACCATCCCTTACTCCCGTTTTTTTCCACGTGACCATTATGTCCAGCAATCTAGAGAGCCCCACGAGCTTAAGCGCGAGTGGGTGTGGAAAGCGATCAGCTGCCGCCTTGGGCACCTCATCAACCCGCAACTTCTTCCACAACGCCGCTTCCACTGCCTGTGAAGTTGTAAATAGGTTGGTTGGGATGCTCCCCCTTGTACTCACAGTCCTTAATAGGGATTTCAATAGGGGGTACTATCATCCCGGAAAAGGACGGTTACTATAAGGGGGAACATCCCAATAGGCTGCTTGGGAAGGCAACTGTTGCTTGGCGTACGGGCAACAGAAATCCAAGTAGGCTCTTCTCCTCACCCTAATGGGAAGCTCAGGAAACACAGACCGACCGACAGAGAGAGAGAGAGAGACGCGCACTAAGGTACTGGGGCGACTTCGGGGGAAATTTCCACGGGGTACCGGAACACGCGTACATGTCTCACACCGACTCTGACACAGACCGGGCGCGCCTCGTGCGCGGAGAGTGCATGCCTGCGTGCGTGTGCTCTTCAAGCCCTGGAGAAGGAGAAGGAGAAGGAGAAGAAGAAGAAGAAGAAGAAGAAGAAGAAGAAGAAGAAGAAGAAGAAGAAGAAGAAGAAGAAGAAGAAGAAGAAGAAGAAGAAGAAGAAGAAGAAGAAGAAGAAGAAGAAGAAGAAGAAGAAGAAGAAGAAGAAGAAGAAGAAGAAGAAGAAGAAGAAGAAGAAGAAGAAGAAGAAGAAGAAGAAGAAGAAGAGAGACGCGCACACACTTGACACCGATCACACACACACACACGCACATGTCTTGGGGATAGTGTTAACCTATTGGGAGCTTTCACATTTTCTAGTCCCATTGCAGGTGGGCAGTTTCCCCCCCTAAAGCCCGTAAATAGAACCCTTGCAGAACATTCAGATCCGTTGCACACCCTCAGACACAGCCTTGTATAGGGTCCCCCCACCTGGGATCTACCTTCCTCCAGCCGTCCTTCTTATATTTTGGGAAGGGGACATCGGGGGACCGATGAAGTGCATACCGCAAGGATCGATTCGAGTCGGGGCCCCCCTTCGGCTTTGCACGCAGGAGTTCTACCAAGACGAGCAAAGAATCGTCGACGTCTACTACAAGGAGATCTGCGAAGTCGTGAAATCAGCGACAGGTCGACGCCATGCGAGGTTTAGGGTTTAGGGATTAGGGATTTTAGGTTCAGGGTTTAGGGTTTAATTAGGATATTCGGAGACGAGCTTGAGCCAAGGGTTCCCATGCAGTCGGGAACCTCCCTACGTACTTTTCAAGGAAGAAGTCTTGTTCGCCTTCGTTGCTGGACCAGTACCCTTTGGAAGCCACGTTTCAGATCAATAGCCAAAGCACGATGCCAACGAGCAAGGGTTTCTGATCAGTTCGTACTTTTTTTGGATGACCGGAGAACAGGGACCCAGATTGAGACCAAAGTGTCGCTAAGCACATGCAGCTTGAGAACACAGCTATGGGAGACGGACTTCGAAAGGTATGAACTTGTTAGGCTTCTTGAAGCTCCTACTCGTATGGACCTTCCTCATCTCTTCGGAGGTAGTGCCAGGGCTGTGCAGACCCCAGGGCCGGCTGCTGCCTACCACGCAGGCGCAGATGAAGTCATCGCGTTCCATCACATCGTTCGCAACGAGCACCTTGCCCTGCTGCTTGCTGGTGGAGACGCTGAGAAGCTATCTGGCTTCGACAATGGCAACGGCGGCGTGGGTGGATATGCAAGGAGACTGCTCTTTCCTCTTCTTGCGGCCTTGCCGGGTGTGGGTCTTGTTGGATGGGTTGGGGCACAATGTGCAAGTCTGAAAATGCTGTTGTCCGACGACAGGAATGCGCACGCCGATTACACCGCCACGACTGCGGCGGGTGCCTCGGGCCGGGCAGTGAAAAGGTAGAAGCAAGTGCCCCGATGCAGACAAAGCCTTGCACTATGATGGTGCTGAGATTTTCATTCAAGGTCGGAGCGGCGCGCCAGGCTTTGTGCTCCATCAACGACCATGAGACCCGAAGGCGATGCGCTAGCAGTCGGTTTGCGCTGGTCAACGCGTGGCGAAGCATCAGCCACTTGCCCATCTTGCTAGTGTGGGGTGTTTGTCTAAGCTGCGCTTTGTGCTGTTGTGCGATGTTGTGCGTGCGAAGGCTTGCCACGCAGCCGCACCCGCCCGACGTATCCCTACACTCCCAGGTGATTCTTCGCCGGTGGTGAGTCATCCGCTGGCCCTGCTGGATGCTACGACAGTGAGTGAGGCCCGGGGCATGGGATCTGACCCAAACAAATTGGCGAATGCGCCAGGAGTGCTTCAGCTTGTTGAGATTGTGGATGATGCATTGCCACCCGTTGCAGATCAGGGTTGCCAAAAGAATGTAGTCTATTTTGCTCCAAAACGTAAGAAGATGATCAACAAACATTCAAAGGCTGTAAATAATTCGATGATTAACAGCAACTCCTGCTATTAATAACAAGAAATAGTAATACTAAAAAGAATAACACAATAAGAACAAGAACTAGAGAAAAAGATAAACATAATCAGGAAACAAATAATCATAATAATAGTAAGTGTATTTTAAGAGGAAGACTTGGTGCTGGTGGACCTGGTTTACCCGGCCTTCATGTCCGAGTCGCTTCAGATCTCTTTCTCTCCGAAACACCGATGGATCTACTGGCCAAGCATCTTGGCAACCCACTTAGGGTTTAGGGTGTAGGTGTTAGAGAACAAAGGACACAACTTAGCAAGGCCCGTAGGGGAAACAAAAAAGCCCCAAAGATGAGATAACACCGAAATTCGGAACTTACTCTGTCGCGGTCGTCGTCGGTCGCCGTGGCCGTCCTTTGTGGACGCTGCTGCAGATGCTGTCGGTGGCGCCTTAGCCCTGGCCAGCCTCGCCTGCCTATGCCAGCCCGAAGTAGTAGCAAGAACTGTTGTGTGAAGTATCTGCGGTAGAATACATCATGTCGCAAACAGAGTATGACATGCGGAAAAGCCTCGGCAGCGACGGCTCGCGTCCCCTCCAGGCCCCACCCGGCGCACCCCCATCGCAGCCATGGCCTCTGGACGCCGCTCCCCCCTCGGACTCGTGGTGGCCCTGGCAGCGGCATGTTTGTGCAGCCAGGCATTTCTGATGCCCGGGCTTCAGAGCACTCCGCCGCAGAGGGCGCAGCAGCTTGCGGCCAGCGCGGCCCTCGTGGCGTCGATGCCCGCTCCCGCCCACGCCGGCGGCATGTTTGACTTCGGGCTGACGCTCCCGTTCGTTGCAGCACCTCGGCGTGGTCAAGTAGAGCAAGTTACTTCGAGCAACTGACAAGCCGTTTAAGCACCCAATGGCTGCGCTGCAGATCACTCTTAAGACCCACCCTCTGGTGCCCCTGTGCTTGCCAGTGGCAGGGCTCCTTCCTGCTCCTGATGGCGGTGCTCAACGCGCTCTTCTACGCGCCCGTGTCGGAGGAGGTGGAAGAGCGCAACGCAAAGCTCCTGCAGACCCTCTCTGATGCCACTGACATGCTGGCAGAGGCTGATGAGATGCAGGCCACTTGGCAACATGTAGTAATGTAATAGAATGCCGCAGCATGTCGCAGGAAAAGGTCCCTTAAGAGGCCCCGTGAACCCAAATCACACTCAGCTACTCGGATAGAAGCGGAAGCATTGACAGAACAAAAGCACAGAGGAAGCACAGCGACTCTGCACCCTTCCCTGCAACCCAGATCTGACAAGAAACCCGAAGGCCTAGCAGCCTTGAGAGTTGAGCATTCCAAAGGTATCTCAGGATCCTTCTATCCCCAGTATTCCCTCAAGGTTTTGGTGAAAAGGGCCCGTAAAGCCGTTAAGACTTGAACTGCCACAGGTGCAGTACACGGCTGAGATCAAGGAGGCACGCGAGAAGGCCGCGAAGGATCTCCGGGGCGTCAGCCAGTGAACGGACGTTCCCTTAAGTTCTTAGGAAACCGGGCTTCCGTGGAGCAGTGAGGGGTTCAGGAAGAAGGTGGGTAGGGTTGAGGGTGTAGGGTCAAAGAAAATGCGGGGTTGAGAGCCATGAGCTATGCCGATTCGGGGATCCGCCCTGTTGATTTCATTTGGGGGTACTTCGAACCCTACTCATAAGTACCCCTAAACCCTAAACCCTAAACCCCAAACCCTAAACCCTAAACCCTAAGCCCTCAACCCTGAACCCTAAACCCTAAGCCCTAAACCCTAAACCCTAAGCCCTAAACCCTAAACCCTCGTTAGTACCCTATAAGGAACTTCCAAGTAGGAGCTCGCAGCAGCCCGCGAGCAGACGGAGGCAGCCATCCAGGCCTTTTGGAAGCATCAACTGCCAGCGTTGTGCAAGGGTGTATAGGATTTAGGGTGTAGAGGGTTTAGGGTGTATGGGATTTAGGGGGTTTAGGGTTTAGGGTTTCGGGTTTAGGGTTTAGGGTGCTTTCATGTGCCTTCTCCCCCTTCAAACAAAGAGGGAAAACCGCATCCCCCAAACGCTGAGCGTCTTGAAGGGTAGAAGCCGAACCCTAAACCCTAAACCCTAAACCCTAAACCCTAAACCCTAAGCCCGAAGCCCTAAACCCTAAGCCCTAAACCCTAAACCCTAAACCCTAAGCCCTAAGCCCTAAACCCTAAGCCCTAAACCCTAAGCCCTAAACCCTAAACCCTAAACCCTAAACCCTAAACCCTAAGCCCTAAACCCTAAACCCTAAACCCTAAACCCTAAACCTAAACCCTAAACCCTAAACCCTAAACCCTAAACCCTAAACCCTAAACCCTAAACCCTAAACCCTAAACCCTCAACCCTAAGCCCTAAACCCTAAGCCCTAAACCCTAAACCCTCAACCCTAAGCCCTAAACCCTAAGCCCTAAACCCTAAACCCTAAACCCTAAGCAAGGTCATGGCCGAACTTTGGGGGGTTTTCTCTTGCGCAGAACGAGGAGTCTTAGCGTAGGGTCTTTATTGAGGATGGATCTTGGGATGTTCCCCACTAGCCTAACAGTCCTTAACAGGGATTATGGTACCCCTATTAGAGGCCCTCTTAAGGACTGTTAGTATAAGGGGGAACCTCCCAAGGTGGACCCAAGAAGGGGCAAAATCCAACAGTCTATTGAGTCTACCAGGCTTTCAAAACGCTCTAGCCGTGTGTTGCCTACATGGCAGGTTTTCGGGCACCTGTTGGAACAAGGGCCCTTGTTTGGGGTTCCCCCACAAAAACCAATTCAGAACAGCCTCCATACAGCTGGACTGAGAGTCCTTAATAGGGACTAGAATAGGGGGTAGTGTTAGCATAAGGGGGAAGACTTCTGTACGGAGGCCTCCATGACTGCCGCCAGCTCGTCGCGGGAGAAGAAGGCCTCTGAGTTCCGCGCGAAGCTGCAGGCGAGGGGTGGGAGCGGTACTTGATCGATAGAGCGGCCTCTTTTCTGGGGTTCCTCTTCGCTGTGTAGAAGAAGAAGAAGAGAAGTTCCCAAGATGAATTGCCCCGAGAATGTTTGTGTTACTTTGCTTGCGATGCTGCTCAGGCTGAAAGCGATCCACCCAGACATTTGCTGATAGTACACGCCATGTGCGCGGGTGAGTGGGGGTCCTTCCACTTCCTCATGCCTCGTAGGAGAAGAGAGAAACTTCAGTGGCTAAGCATGCAGGAAGGAAGGCAGGAAGGCAGGGAAGGCCTGAAGGCAGGAAGGAAGGAAGGAAAGAAGGACCCCAGACAGGCGAACCCTTATGCCATATAGGTCCGCAAAAGAAAGAAAGGGCATGTAGCAAGAACACTGCAGATTCCGCTGCCATCGTGGCTTGTCGGCTCCAGAATCCGGAACCGACCGCCTTCCAATTTCCAGGCCCAGATGGATGAGAAGATCAAGAACGCCGAGGGCACCATCCAGGACAGCCCGAGCTTCAGAAAGCTTGGAAGATTCGTAGACTTTCGCCAGAGAGTCCTGATTCATGCGAATTTCCCTGAAACAGGGACTGGTTTAAAACGCAAGGGTTGTAGGGTTTAGGATGGCTTAGGGCCTCGCATCTCAAGGATAATGACAGGTCCCTGATATGGTCCCTTACCTTCTGTAAAGGTTCTTGAGTATGGTATATAAGGGGTTTGTCAGGAGGATTACCCAAAACCACGTTGCAAAGAAGGCCAACCCCACCGTCGCAAACGCTCTCACAGAGCTCGTTTCTGGACTTCCCTGTCGTTTTGGAGATGTCGCGATTGGTCACGATTATTATTAGTACTATTATTATGATTACTACTCTTACTCTTACTCTTACTCTTACTCTTACTCTTACTCTTACTCTTACTCTTACTCTTACTCTTACTCTTACCCTTACTCTTACTCTTACTCTTACTCTTACTAGTACTATTACTATTACTATTACTCTTACTATTACTATTCCTATTACGATTAATATTACTGTTACTGTTGCTGTTGCTGTTGCTGTTACTATTACTATTACTATTACTATTACTATTACTATTACTATTACTATTACTATTACTATTACTAGGAGTTTTGAGGCTTGTCTGGTCTTAGCGGTTTAGGGCTTGTAGGGCCATGGTCAGGAGCGCAAGACAACTTTCGTGAAGCAGACGCTCGCGGGTGTTGGCCTGTAATGGCCTGTAAGTCAGGGCCAAAGGCAGGGCGTGGTTTTTTGGCAGGGTTCGAGCTCGATGTCGCGAAGGGGGCTTTTGCTCTTCCTCATGCAAGCGCTAGCTGTACCAGAGCTGTTTGCGTGATTGCTAGACTGCTTACATGCCAAACTGGGGCTGGGCAATCAACACTGCTTCGGAAGATGTTTGCAGTGGTCGTCCTTCCTAGACGCCAGGTGTTGCCCGTGACGCAAGTCTGAGGGCAGGTCGTGCGAAAGTGAGGTTTTCGGGTTGGGCCAGCTAGTCCACCCCTTTACTCCAGGAAAAGTCGCCGGCACCTTTCTCCCTTTAAAGCAGAGTGCTTGGAGGTTCAGGGTACTTCTAGCCCCAATTCTAACTGTACTAGTCCCTCAAGTCCTCTAAGTAGGTTATAAATCGACTTATAGCTGGGGCTATAAGTACACATGAACCTCCAAGTAGAGTCAACATGGGCGGGCAAGTGGCGGACACAGAAGAAAAGTGCTCGCAGGGCTCGGCAAGGGAAATTTCAAATCTGGCCATGGTCTTGGAGAGGTCACATGGTTGAGGGTTTAGGGTTGAAGGCGTAGGGCCTATGTCAGCACCTACAAAAGCGTGCTGATGGCCAAAGCCACCCGAAGATGCAGATGGGACTTGCTACTTGACCCCCACCCCCCCAACTTTCAACCTTGAAGTGCTTCCCGCTCCCTACGTGTCCCTGCAAGCGAGAAGGTGCGATGTACTATACATTTCTACGTCGTTCTCTTCCACGATCTATACCTACACGATTTTTGCCGCAGAAGAGCCAGCATGCGGCAGGAGCACGTGCCACATGATGGCATAGCAAGGGCGGGTAATGATGGTAGTGGCAAACGGCAATCTGGTGCGGTTGTTTTGGGCCCCCGAGTCTGTTTCCCCCGACTCACTTCCCCGTCTTCTCTTTGGAGCCGAAACAAGGCATGGTCAAGGATGAGGTGTTGCTCTTCAAGCAGTATGACTCTGACACGCGCAGACCTCGGTTCTCCCTGGCGGTGCATGACGGAGCCATCTCTTGGGATGTCCCACCTCATACTAACAGTCCTAAAAGGGATCCTAGTACCCCGTATTAGAATCCCAATTATGGACTGTTAGGTCCGAAACTTCAGGCATCCCGCTCTTTAGGGTTTAGGGTCGAAAGGGTTTAGGGTCCCCAAACTCGAAGCTCGAGCTGTGGTGAACATATCCCGCGATGCCTGACGAGGCCGTTTTACATCAGTTCGAGGTTGTGTGCGTGTGGGGAGATGTAGATCAGCCCATGGTTGTGAGTCGCTCATCTTCTGGCATGTTGCGTGTGTAAGTTGGGGGTGGGAAGAAAGAAAGCTCCAGAGTTCCATCGTGAGCCATGACGAACTACCGGGCTTGGGACTCCAAGGCCGATGCTCTCTGCCAGGAGCTTGACGACCAGGACAAGCAGCTTGGTAGCCCAGTGGTACCCTTTACCTTTCTTTTCTTTGGTTCTGGTTTCCCTTTTAAAAAGTCACCAACCAAAAAGAGGGTGCTCTTGTTAGAATATGGTTGCTGGGCTACCAAGGCAGGATGAAGCAGCCAACAACGAGGCTCTTGGACTTGCGGACGGCCCCAAGGGTCCACCCACAGCAAAGGCCGAGAAGGAGACTTAGTGGTTCAAAACCCAGCTTTTCAACTTTTGGCCCCTTATAAGGTCGTCTTCTTCTGAAAGTTTGAACTTTTTGCCCCATGGGTTTTTGGGGAAGTGAGGAGATGGAAGAGCTCAAGGGCCACTCCAAGCAGCGAGAAGATTTCATCGCGTGGAGCCAGAAGCGCGAGGTGTCGGTGAAGCACACCAATGTGTGTGGTGAGGTGCTGTTGTCGGCAGAGGACTACAAGGGAAAGGCAGTCCGCATCAACGGCAGTACCGGTGTGGCCTACGTGGTGCCCGCAGAGGCTGACTTGCTCAAGCTCTTGGTGGACAACTGCAGAGACTTAGGTGCTGGGTGGGTAACCTTTAACCTTTTTGGGTACTATAAATGCCCTTAAAACCCAAAGGTTAACCTTCTTTCCCCTATAGGGAACTCAACACGTAAGGAGATGTGAGTATCCATGTTCGATCTTCAGTGATCACCTCGACTGTTGAGCTGTACAAATGCAGCCGGCTGGATCTATCTCTGGACCATCCTCTGGGCACCTTGCAAGTGGACGAGTGCGAGGAGTCTGTGGCGGTGAAGTTTGCAGAACGTGATCACGTAGGGAAAGCCTATCACCAGAACTCCCCTGGTCTCAGCATCTCGTGGGGCTTCGGCGGGACAGCAAGTGCCACAACGATTGGCAAAGCTGGTGCCTGTCAGCTTCTGACATGCTTGCTGGGCACGGGCTTTCGCACAGAGCCCGTGAGGCGCGGCGAGGGCGAGTTTCCACTCGATTTCGGCGCAGCAAGTCCAGCGGACCAGCCGGAACCCGAGGCAGCTCCGGCCGCAGAACAAGCGCGGCAAGAGGCCGAAACCCCAAACCCTAAACCTGAAACCTAAACCCCTAAACCCCCAAACCCCTAACTAAATCCCTAAACCCCTAAACCCCTAAACCCAAAGAAACCCTAAATCTCTAAACTCCAACCAAACCCTAAACCCTAAACCCTGAGGCCGAGAAGCACCGCCTGGCCGGCAACGAGATGTTCCGGGCCTCAGACTTTAGCCAAGCGGCCGCCTTCTACTCGCTGGCACTCAAGCTCCTTAGTAGTCGTGGTTGAAGGGTCTTTCGAGGTTCAGAGTTTAGAGTTTATGGTTTAGGGTTTTAGGGTTTAGGCGCTCAAGCTTAGTAGTCGTGTAGGTACCCCTTTTTGTTTTTTGCACTTTTTTGGGCGGTTCAAGGTTCCCCTTGTGCTACCAAGGCTTGCGCCCGAGTCCGGAGCTTCTTGGGCGAATCGTTCCCAGTGTTGGCTCAAGATGGGCGACCTGGAGAAGGCCCTGGCAGACGCGGAGAAGTGCACGCAGGTCGAGCCGACGAACCCGAAGGGCTGGTTCCGGAAGGGCATCAGCCTGCACGCCATGCAGCGCTACGCCGACGCCATCCCCGCACTCCTGGAGGCTGAGAAGCTGGAGCCTTCCAACAAACAGGTCTTGGACGCGATCAAGATGGCCCAGCTCATGGCCAGGAAGGCGTCATCCAGCTGAAGCTACACCATGCAGCCACAAGGTTTTGTTGCCCCACAGACCCCAGACCCCAAGCGCCAGAGTTTTCCCTGGTATGGACTAGCACACTAGTGCTGTTGAAACCAGGGGCTCTTGAACGCCTTCGCCTGCCCAAGTGGCATTGCATCCGCGGTGCCCCGTGTCCTGTGTACAGTGTGCAGGCGAAGTTTGCTTTTCAACTCGTTGAGTCGTGTCGGATAGATGCCTGGAGCCTTGCCTGCTAAGTGCGAGCCGAGGAAACCATCCGTAGTTTTGGGAATTGGGGATGTTCAGGGTACTCTGGGCCTGCTTCCGGCAGATATCACCCAGAGTTGCGAAAGGGTTGACTTCAGAGTCCTGAATTGAAAGATTTTTTTGGGTGTCCGAAACTGAAAGGTCGAGTGTTCGGGGCTCAAAGTTTAGAAATAAAAGATAAGTAAATGATATGTGTATATATATGTATATATAACGTATATTCTACTGCAGTATTTTACACTACATGACACGATAGGACATTATAATTTTTGTACATTCCATTATATTCTGTTCTTAATGTTTATGTATTTTACATACATACACACACACATATATATATACATATATGTATATATACATATACATATAAATATAAATAAATAAATATAAACAAATTACTATAAATAAAAACAAATAAATATAAACAAATTACTATAAATAAACATAAATAAATAAATTCAAATAGAAATAATTAAATAAATAAATATATATATATATATATATGTATTTCTATTCATACTTATATATACACACCAAGGTCGGTGGCACAGCGGGCCTTCCACTGCGCCTTTGAGGGCCCGGCAGGCTGTGCCGGGCCAGCCAGGGAGTCCATCGAGGCATCGCTTGCCTGCTCCTGAATTTTAGGGTTCAGGGTTCAGGGTTTAGGGTTTAGGGTTTAGGGTTTAGGGTTCAGGGTTCAGGGTTCAGGGTTTAGGGTTTCGGGCAGATGCAAAAGGGTTTAGGGTCTAGGGGTTTAGGCACCCCCTGAGCCTCCGTACGGGTTTTGAAGAAGGCACCCTATATACAGAAGTAGATGTGAACGATAAAGACATACATCGATTCACAGGTGCATGTCATGTATGTCATGTATGTCATGTATGTAATGTTCGTACTGTATGTAATGTATGTAATGTATGTAATTTATGTTATGTATGTAATGTATGCAATGTATGCAATGTATGCAATGTATGTAATGTATGCAATGTATGTAATGTATGTAATGCATGCAATGTATGTAATGTCTGTAATGTATGTAATGGATGTAATGGATGTAATGGATGTAATGTATGTAATGTAGTATGTACTGTATGTAATGGAGGTATGTACCGTATGTACTGTAAGTAATGTATGCAATGCATGTCATGTATGTCATGTATGTCATGTATGTCATGTATGCCATGTATGTCACGTATGTCATGTATGTCATGTACGTCATGCATGTCATGCATGTCATGTATGTCATGTATGTCATGTAATGTAATGCAGTGTAATTCAATGTAATGCCATGCAACGTATGTACGTATGTATGTATTCATGTATGTTTTCATGTATGTATGTGTGTGTATGTATGTATGTAATGTAGTGTAATGTAGTGTAATGTAATGTAATGTAATGTAATGTAATGTAATGTAATGTAATGTAATCATGCATGCATGCATGCATGCATGCATGCATGTATGTATGTATGTATGTATGTATGTAGCCCATCTAGGGTCCAGGGGCTCCCTATCTAGCTTTCAGGGTTCACTAGTGACAAATGCACTGCAGTCCTCACAAAACAGTTGCTGTCTCACGCGAAGAGCTTGTGGCGAGGGCACCAAGCTCTTGTGTTGCATCCAAGGCCCTAAGCCCACCCTAAACCCTTTAAAAACAAACAGGACTTTGTTAAAGGCTTGTATCCGGGATCTGAATGGCCCACGATCTTGCAGGGCCGAACCACTGTCGATGTCGCAGAAGCGAACAACACGCCCAGTGTTGGTCACAGTTCCTGAGCCAGTCCACATCTGAGCACTGCACCCCCAACCTGATGGACCTCTAACCCGTAACAGTTCTCAACCCTAAACCCTAAGCCCCTCTTAAACCCAAAACACCCAAAGCGTGGAAACCAGCGGCGCGACGCAATGCTTCCTCATGCAGGACGAGCTCAGCACACGTGAGGTTCCGTTCAGGACTACAGCTGGGGGCTTTAGCTGACGCCGGCGGGAGCACTGGGCGGGAGCACTGGGCGGGAGCACTGGGCGGGAGCACTGGGCGGGAGCACTGGGCGGGAGCACTGGGCGGGAGCATCCGGAGGGTGTCTGCGATGCTGTTAGGGTTCCGCAAGGCGGGCTCCAGGCCCAGGAGAGGGTGCAGACTCCGGCCGGCGACACAGCCCAAGCCCTGGCTGGGGCAGCGTCTCGTAGAGCCGGCTTTTGTCTTGCGCCGCCCAAGTTTCAGTTGGCCTGTGTTGCCCGGAAGTTTCTTCATTTCAGCACCCCTAAGACAACAGAATTCCCCCTGAGCGCTTGTAAGTCCTCTGTGCTTCTTTTGTTGGGGCAGGTGCGCACCGTGGCTTTCTTCTATTCGGCACCCGCCGCTGAGGAGAGGGATCCGAAGCCTGAACCATTTCGGTGTTGAGGTTTCCAGTGGCCTTACAGATTGTCGTCGTTCGGCGTGTGGTTCCAGGGGACAGAACCTCGTGATGGCAAGCGGCTGCAAGAACACAAAGCATTGACTGCAGGACCTCCTGCAACCTGGCAGGCTACCTGGTGCAGCAGAAGTCCGGGTCTCGGATTCTGAGGAGGCAATCTGCCTAAACCCTAAACCCTAAACCCTAAACCCTAAACCCTAAACCCTAAACCCTAAACCCAAAACGACTGGATGCTGGGGTACTTCGCAGTTTCAGAGTTCAGGGCACCACTTTGGCGGTGTGGTTGCTAGGACTGAGACGGCATGCGAGCTGGTATGATGAGAGGATGCTTCAGGTCGTCCGGCATGTGTGCAAGCTGTGGTGCTTGGTGTATTTTGGATGCTTGTGGGATGGGCAGGTTGTCCAGCAGCAGTGGAAGTGGTTAGGGCATTGCTTGAGGCATCAGCACACAGACATTCCCAGGCGCCTGGCCCTTGACGATCCGCAGTGCCACACTGGGGCACGCGAGTATGGGTGCCAATGTTGTTGTCTGCGCTCCGTCCGAGCAGATGTGGAGCCGGCGGTGTGTGCAGGGCACCTTGGCGGGCTCGGTGACAGTTGCCGTGCGGGTGCCTGAGGGCAGCATGCAGTTGGTTTGGCTTGAGAGTGTGCGTGGATGGTGCGGAACGTCGTGCCCAGTGTTGGAGAGCGCGGTTGCTGATCTGTGGCATGCGCTAGATGTCATGCTGTTGCGTGTGCCTGGTGACTGGCTGCATGCTCGAGTGGTGTGGCAGGGCCGGGAAGAGTTCCTGACGAATGCCCCTCGACGTCTGCCAAACTTGTGGAAGCAGAAAAGTATCATTGAGATCTCAACCTTTCCTTTGGATGTCCTGTCGGATCGGCTGGTGAATTGGGATGCCGCTCAGTAGTGCTACTACTGCTGGGGAATGGTCCCGATGATGTGCTGGTTCACAGTGCAGTCGCGCTCAGCTGCTCAGACTCCGAGATAGCGCCGAGTAAACCCTAAACCCTAAACCCTAAGCCCTAAGCCCTAAACCCTAAACCCTAAACCCTAAACCCTAAACCCTAAACCCTAAACCCCAAACCCTAAACCCTAAACCCTAAACCCTAAACCCTAAACCCTAAACCCCAAACCCTAATCCCTAAACCCTAAACCCTAAACCCTAAACCCTAAACCCTAACCCTAAATCCTAGTAGAGGCATCGGCCATGTGACTTCGGGGTGCCAGAGAGCCCAACACCACTTCATCCGGGAAATCAGTTCTGCAAATGCCTTACTTCAGGGCAGTGGGCACTCTGGGGTGACTGTCTAAGCCACCCCAGAGTCCTAAACGGACTAGCAGCCAGCAAGACCCTAAACCCTAGACCCTATAAGCCTTCAACCCCCAACCCTAAACCCTAAACCCTAAACCCCAAACCCTAAACCCGAAATCCCCAAAACCAAGCTGGCAGGTGGCAGAAGTCATCCTTGCTGCACTCGCGCGCCCCGAAGATTGGCCAGCGGAGACCCGCGCCGAGGCAGCTGCGCAAAGGTTTGAGTGAGGCTGTATCATAAACCAACTAGGGTTTAGGGTTTAGGGTTTAGGGTTTAGGGTTGAGACAATTCGCACCCAGCAACGTATTGAAGTTCCATCGGCAGAACGTCCCAACGTTGGCGGAAGTATGCATGGCCTCTCTCCCACAGTTGCTCGCCGACTAAAGAGCTGTGCAGTAAATAGACAGCCGGTCAAAAGCTCACAACTGGTGTGTCGCGGTGTCTTCTGCTGCTGTACCACTAGTACAATCTAGAATTCAGAAACATGTCGCAGCTTCTTGCGGACTTGCTGAACATTCGTGAGGTGTGCAAGCATCTGGCGATGGATGAGCCGGCTCCCTACAGACACTTCATCATGCTTCAGCTCTGGGGCGTCTGTTCCGACAAATCTCAACAGGTGCCTGTCATACTGGTATCCCTCTCCTGTTCTAGTCCCTATTCAGCACGTGTGGTTGAGCCTTGCTGAAGTTTTCTTTCAGATCCTGAAAAACAAAGTTGCGCAGAAGTAGCGCATCAGGCAGGGAGCAGCTGAGGGCCTAATGGCTGCCATGGTGGCCTGGGCCCCAGGGGGACTCGCATGGACTCACTGCATGAATCGCTGTTTACTGCAGCGTGCTGCTCCGAGCCCCAGGCAGAGAGACACAACCAGTGTTACGGTCCATCATTGACCTAATAGGGCCTGCATAAATCTCATCCCAGCAGACTCTGTCAGTCTGTCTGTACTACAATGTCCTATATGACAGGGTTGCCACAAGATATCACAGGATCACCGGCGTTCGGCTCCTTTCCACGCGATGCCACCGCAGCGCATTGGGACTGTCAAGGTTCTTTCATGCAGCACGACCCCGAATCTCTTGCCCTCTGTGCACGGTAATGGTGAATCCACGGTGCTCAGCTTCTACCTCCGCTCCAACGTGGAGACCCTCGCCTTGTCCGCAGAAAGAGGCATCATCGGAGACTGTCGTGCTGCTCCCAGCCATCAAACCCGCCAGCGGGACATTCTTTTTGCCGACCCGGTGCTACTGCGAGAAGTGGGCAACATCCCCGGAAACAAATCCCTGGAAACTGGCACCATGGACAAACCGTGCGACATCGGGCAGAACGTGACGCTGGCGGAGGGAGATCCATCCGTCACCGGATGGTGCGTCGGAGATCTCATCGAGATTGGCACCCCTGGGGCCGCTGCTCTCGTGAGGGTCACGAGCACTCGGCGCCCTTGCCCGAAAAACAACAACGTGCACGGGGAAGGGACGTGGCCACACATGGAGAGGCATGGATTGGGGGGTGTCTTCGGCACCATCGTCCGTGACGGGACCGTCCGCTTGGGTGACCCCGTGGTGTTGGTGGAGAGGCTGCAGAGCAAGTGGACGTGTGTGCAGGTGCACCTCGCGCTGTACGGGCGCGCGGTGCCGGAGACCACTCCAATGGAGCTCCGTGAGATCGCCGCGCTGGATTACTTGGAGGAGCCGCGGTACAAGAAAGTGGCCAAGGAGCGCTTGGGGCAGGTGGAGGTTGCTGCAAGGCGCCGGCACTGGGAAGCTTTGGCCCTGATAGCCTTGTCTGTGGTGGCATTTCAGCTGGTCCGGCGCTGTAGCTGCACCGTCAGGTAGGAAACGGGCAGTCTGCACATTGCTTGCCGGCGTGCGAGGAAGAGTCGGTCCAGCAGCAGGTTCAAGTCGGCAGTTTGCCCCCCCCCACCCTCCCTTAAAATATTTTTACTTCACGTAGTCCTTCTAGAACCCCACAACAACGAAACTTATCACTATAAGTCAAGCCGCCTCACCGGTTCATCTTGCCCCAAGCTTGCCCAACACCTCTTAAACATGCACGATGCCATAGACAAACGTTTCTTCATCATCTAAGATGGATTCTTACTTTAGGGGTATTGGGCTTACGAACAGTCTCCCAGGCCTCGCACTCGGAGGTGCAGAATCCATTCGCAAGCATGCCAGGCTGGCGTTGGAGTGCACATGAAAGGGCGCACTACGTGACTGCAAAGTACACTTAGAAGTTTTGCCGGTGTTCTCTTGCTCCACAAGGCCCAGATCGCAGAAATATAGACATTTTTCCCAGAGCCTGCAGCATGGAACAGACCTTAAACTTTGGTAGGGTTCTTTTTGCAAGGCATGTTCCTTGATCAGGAGGGGCTGGGGCTTTCTTCGGCCCTCACGCAGGCGCACCAGCCGAGCTCCAACAGAAAGCAGCAGGCTCAGCTACTACAGGAGTCTGGGAGAATACCAAGGTTGTGCCCTTAAGATCCCTCTGCAATTGTGTTGCAGGTAGTCTCGGGTTTTGCAGGGTACAATGCAGACTACTCGGGGCTGATGCCGTAAGCCCGAAAAAGCACCTTTTTCAAAGGTGCCATGAACTGGCACGCTCGGCATGGATCCACCAACAGTCCAAGGGCCCTTAAATGCCATGAAGCAAGTCCTTGGGCGTTAAACTTTGAAGTCAGGGTTCGGAGACGAGGCCCATTTAAGCCCACAAGCCCAGGAGGGCGCACCGCGAAAGAGTGGTACACAGTACAGACGATACCCGACACTAGACAACCACCTGTCTCTCTCTCTCTCTCTCACTCTTTCTCTCTCTCTCTCTCTCTCTCTCCCTCCCTTCCTCCCTCCAATCCGCACAAGGCTGTAGATTCCAACCCTAAAGCCGCCTGCCACCCTGAATTCCCACAGATTCGGCTGCGTAGGAGGGGGGGAGAAGGGCGCAGGGCTTGCGCGACGTGTGGGCTTAGAGGGTTACGGGGTTAGGGTGCTATTTTGTGGGAAGGCGTGTTCAGCCACCGTAGGCCCGTCACGTCACTGAGGTGCTCGCGGAGCTGCGTGCCAAGGCCGGGCATCTCCGCAAGGTCAGGCTTCTGTGATGCCCTGGGGCGAAACTGTTGTCTACAATTTTCGTTGGCTTGGCCTCCCATGGCACCTCTAAGCTATATGCATTGGGGGTTTAGGGTTTAGGGTTTAGGGTTTAGGGTTTAGGGTTTAGGGTTTAGGGTTTAGGGTTTAGGGTTTAGGGTGCCCAAAATCAACAGTTGCCTGAGGGCTTTCGGGAGAAGCTGCGGGCATCCTTCGGCACCTCTTCGTGAGCTTTTGGGACGATGTGCGGCGAGGCGTTCGGAAAAAGGGCGGGAGGTTGGGCCATTTGGGGTGTAGGGTTTAGGGTTTAGGGTTTAGGGTCATTAGGCTGAGCCTGAAGACTCCCTGCCACGAGCCTTAGTGTCCCGAACATGCTCACACAGTTCTGGGGAAGGAGGCAAGAGATGCCGACCTGCTCGTAGCAAGTGGCTGCAAGACCTTGCTACCCCTGAATTTTAAGTTGCCAAAGAAGGACCCTAAACCCTAAACCCCAAACCCTAAACCCTAAACCCTAAACCCTGAACCCTGAACCCTAAACCCTAAACCCTAAACCCTAAACCCGACTGTCGTCAGCTGATAGTCAGGACCCACATTGTTCGGTTAGAGGCAGCGAACTTTGTCCTGCTCAAGGGGACCCCCACCCCCCCCTCCCTCCCCCCCAACCAATTTAGCCATTTTTGAGGGTTCTGTTGCTATTCCTTACAGGGGTTCCAGCAACAGCCCTAAGAATTTCTTTGCGTTGGGCTTGCCTGGGTATTCACGCATGGCCAAGGCATGGAAAGGCTGAGTTCCCGCACCAAAGTCCCTTGTGGCCCAAGGTTGTGGTTCCAGTTCACACTTAGAGAGGCCGCAGATGAACAGCGACCTGCCTACACCCCACACTAGACTCGAACCATAGGCGTGAGCGAAACGAAAGCACTCATCATGCGCAAGCTGTGGACGATTCTACCCCTAAACCCGCAAGTTCCTGCAAAGGCAAGCAGTGTTTCAGGCAGTGCACAAAGGGCTTTCCAGGCTTGAACTTCGGGAGACCCCGCTCTGTAGTGCCTGCGGCGTCCGTGTGCCTTGCCGGCACAGGGAACCAGGGGTGGAATTCAAGTTGGTAGGGATGCTTGAAGTTATTTTCTGGATTAAGAATGGTACTGGACAACACTGAAACTACAAGAAGCATCAGTCTTGCTCTCACAAAACGGGACAAGGCAATGAACAAGTCCAGCATTCAGTGAGGGAGGGACTTCTTCCGTTCATCATGGCCGCCGTGTGCCCTAAAAACCCTCGACGCCCCACGCTTTCTTGTTCTTGTCTTGTTGAAGATTGGCCCGGCGCAAGGGATTCCCCAGCTAGAAAGGTGGCACAGAATGCCCCAACCCTTCAAAACACGCGGAATTCCTTTTTGTACCCTTCAACCCTCACCCAGACCTCCTCAACTTCGGCTGCATGTAGAGATGATGCGCTTCTCTTACAGTTTGGCCCCGCACGGCTGGGCTAGGCGGGTGGCAGCCCCTCCCTTCACCACAAAAAAACACATCATTAACGCCCTTACAGCCTAAACCGTTCAAAGCTTCTTGGGTCTACAGGTCCGATCCCATGCCAGCCTGGGATTTTCCGCTTAGCCGGGCGGAGAAGCCAGCAGCCTCAGTGCAGCAGAGGGATTTTGATAGTATCTCTTAATCACCCCGATGTGCTTGTCATATTCGAACCCAAGGCACCAAAAGGTGAAAGGCAACAAACAGGCCCCTGCTGTTTAGGCGTTTTCGGGGACTTGGGGCTTCGGGTCTCCCACAGAGAGCGCCGCAGAGTATTCCGGGAGTGCTTGGAGGCTCAGGGTACTTATCACCCCAATTATAGCTGTACTTGTACGTCCCCTAAGTCCTCTAAGTAGGTTACAAGTAGACTTAGAAGTCGATTTACAATTGCGGTTCTAAGCACCCATGAACCTCCAAGAGCCCGCCCGAAGAATCCTGGGGAGACCCCAGAATGGCCTCCAAAGCATTGCTTCGTGAGCTTTGAAGGGGGTGTGCTGACGTAAACGATTTAAGGTTTGTTTGTTGTTTCATCATTTTCTTCTTATATATATTATATAGTTATTTATATTTATATTTATATTTACATTTATATTTATATTTATACTTATACTTACATATATATATATATATATATATTTATTTATGTGTGAGTTTTTGGGAGGGGGGGATGGGGCGTGCTGGGGGTTCCCTCAACCCGAAACCCTGGCCCCAAGAGTTGAAAATGTTTAGGGGCCCTGACCAAGGAAGGGCTTCAGGGCTCGAGGTGGCCAAAGGGTGCCTAAATCCTAAACCCTAAGCCCTAAACCCTAAACCCTCAACCCTCAACCCTAAACCCTAAACCCGAAACCCTAAACCCTAAACCCTAAACCCTGTTGAGAGGGCTTTGGTATCTTTCAGTAGCCCAAGGGGCTCAGAAGGGGCTGGGATGGAAATGGAAATGGTTGATATCATTCGCTTTGATGCCCTGTGTCGTTCTTCGGCAATAAGGGTTCAGGGTTGGAGGTTCAGGTTGCAAGAAAGAAAGGCCCTTTTCGGCAGCGATGTGCGTGCAGAACTCATGGAGTACTGCCGAGTATGGAAGCTAGGGCACCTTTGCTGTTCAAACTGTGCCGCTGGGATCTGTGTAAGTCTTTGAGCACTTCGTGTGCGTTCCCGCAAAGGACGAAGCTCCTTCTGGATATGTACACCGTCGAGGCCCACTATGCATCTGTCAATGCGAACAGCAGTTGAGATGAAAAGAAGCAAGCGGCGTGTCAGGTGCAGAAGCTGCAAGAGGATTCAACTTTCACCAAGGCGCAGTTCCCTTTTTCCCTTGCGAATCCCCTGCAAGGAGCCCTGCGCCACCCATGTTTGTTCGACCTTTATCGCGAGGAGTCATCGACATGCCGCGAAAAGTCATCGATATGCGCCAAGATCCAAGGACAGGTCCGGGCTTGCCAGTCAGTCGCAGTAAAACTAGGAAACGCCGACCTGCGCGTTAGCAGGGTTGTTTTTTTTAGGTATTTTGGTAGTTTTCCCGAGGGAAAACGACGATTTCGGCTCGAGATTGTTTTGGGGGAAGGGCTAACCTCGCGCACTTGTGTTTTTACTGAGGCGAAAACCACGTGTTGGTGTAAGGTCTGGTCGTTGGCAAGCACGTCTTCACGGTTTTCCGGATAAGATTTTATTTCATGGTTTTTGAAGTTTAGGTTGTTTTTGTGGTTTTCAGATGCATCATAGTTTGCGAAGATTTGTGGCTGCAGCCTTGTATGTTGTACGATCAAGCAAAAACGCTGTAAAATAGCAGTGTTTGCGGCATGTTCGCAGAAAGGCACGAATAGTTGTGACAGCGCGTCTGGTTGCGGAAATATCAAACATGCTCTTGCAATATATTTCTATACAAGGCAAACACACTGAACATTCCAGTGTTGTGGGCGTGTTCGCAGAAGGTTTGTGACAGTGCGTCTTGTTCCAGAAACATCAGGCATCCTGGCGCAGCGTGTTGTATAGAGTATAGAGGAGCCAAAACGCTGTAACCCTAAACCCTAAACCCTAAACCCTAAACCCTAAACCCTAAACCCTAAACCCTAAACCCAAACCCTCTAACACCGAAGCCTGACAGTTGCCAAGAAGGAGGTGCGACAGAGCGTCCCAAGGAGGAAGGCAGCCGGTGGCATGAGCCTAGTAGGTAGGATAAGGGGGACTAAGCCCTAAACCCTAAACCCTAAACCCTAAACCCTAAACCCT